AATAAAGAATAATTGTATTTGTATATGTATAATTTGTTTTTTATGTGTGTAACAATAAAGATATCCGTATCCGTAATTTATAAATAATAAGGACTCATCACATGGCGTTAATACTATTGCTGGATTGTACGCTATTAGTTAAATCGCATCAGAATTGGTCGAATGTGTATCAATCGGTCCTTTTCTGTTTCAAAACGCAATTTCCCTATATAATCTAGTAAGAACAGTTGAAAACAATCGTAGTTAAAGCGATTTAAGAAGTAGCAATTTGTGAAGTAATGAGACAGGCTACATGCATTACGGGAAATTATCTAAAAATAGTTGACGGACTTTTCATTATTTCTTCTTCTTCTTTTTCTTTTTAACAATCGAGACCTGGCAATATTTTACTCGGTAATGGCGACTGATAATATGAAATTATAAGTAGTTTTATGTAATTGCTTACCAATACTGGGAATTTAAATTTGTGTAATATAAATAAAGATAATTATTGCGTTTACATTATTTTTTGTGTTTAAATTACATATTACTTGGAATGAGTGTAGAGGGATTGTATTTTATAAACATACTAGCTATATCAGCGACTTTGTCCGCCTTGTTTTTGTAAACCTCTACATCTTTATACATTTAAGCTGCCCACGACTCGGTCGCGTCCCGTCGTTCGGGTCTTATCGTTCTTACAAGCTAATCTTAATAGATAGACATACCTATAGTGTCGCGGTCATTTTTTCAGATTAAATAAAAAGGAATCATTCCTCTATGCATATTTTTGAGTGTCTTAAACGTTTTCGCAGCGTACCTACTTATCAGAAACCCACAGAGATGAAAAATTTCCCCCATTTTGTTCACATTTCCCCCTGTATCTTCGCTTCTATTTGTCAAAGCGCGATGTTTTATAGCCTTCCTCGATAAATGCTCTAACTAATATAAAAATATTTTTTCAATTCGAACCCGTAATTCCTGAGATTTGCGCGTTCAAACAAACAAACTCTTCAGCATCTATTATTATAGATATGTATGTATGGAGTGGATACCTATGAGACTTTCGAGTTTGATGAACTAAATTACTATGATTTAAATTATATTGAGTAATTGTAACATAATATGTAGAGTAAGAGCCTAGTTATAAAGCCATTTAATATGTGTAATATTCTAATAAATATATATGAATTATAATAAATAAACACAATCTACCAATAGCTGAGTGGTCGAACGCAAGATATAGTGAGTTCGAATCCGCAGGAAACATTACAGTTTGCGCTAAATAAATTTGATTAGTAAATACTAAAAAACTTCTCTGCCCTATACCCCACACTGGGAAACGAGATTTTATACATACAAGAATAGCAGATTAGCATTAATTAACAAATTATCAAGTATTTTTAACGGTCATACTGTTCGGAACAGCCAAGCGGAACCAACCATATCCGATTGACAAGCCGGAACAAATAAGGGTGCACGGGTCAGATAATGTCGATGTCACAGGTAAAGGTCACGAACCAACCTTCACTGTCAGGTAATGTAGGGTGGCATAACAAGTGGCATTGTTATCCTAATTGTTCGAATAAATTCTTGTTTATGCAACAGGTATTATTACGTGTTTAATTATCAAGAATAGATTGCACTTTACGTAACAGATTTCTATATATATTTAGATTTTTTATGTTAAGTAGCTTTTTTAAGTATGAAAAAAAGTTTGCATAATGAAATATGTTGCCGGTCTATATCTATATGTTGTAGTCTAGTGGTAGCGACTCATAAATAATAAGCAATCGGTCGTGAATTTGATAACCAACGGTTGATAACATTTGGTTTGAGCTATTTTATTTTGTATCAAATAAATCCCATATTTGTTCTATCTTAAAAAAGTAAATATAGCACAACAATTGTTTTCAACATATAATGAGTAGGTAAACATATAATGAGTAGGTACAGATAAATAAAATCCCTACAATTTTCAGGGCCTATTATTTCTAATTGCTGGCGTGGCATAAGTCATATTTTTAAGTACCTACCGAATATTCTGTTTTTCTTTCAGAAATTTATATAATCTTGTTCGATAGCTCTCCTTAGTGTTTAAAAGTGATCCCTCATAATTTGGCTGCTGCAAAGCATTCGAAACCTTGCGCCGTAGTTATAACAAATTGTACGTAAGTTAACTAATACATGTCACTTTTAAACCGTTAAAAGTGTTTTATCTGAACGTCACCTAAACGTTAATAATCCGCCGCAGCGTCATGAGCATCTCCCTAATAGCTTTCGCATGTCCACTTATCGCGATGTCACTTAATCGATTAACTCAGAGAAATGTCCGTCAATGCGAGTCGCAGCTATCATTAAAGATAACATTAATTGGGCTCCACCGGTCTTCCGCGTCTCCAGCGGGATGAAAAAAGTAGGTGCACGTGGTCACTACCGTTCATTTACGAACGCGAATTATGCGTAGTACAGCAGGTGGCAGGTGGGATCATGGGAACTGAGGGTTGAGGCGAGTTCCCACGGCGCGTCATTCAGTACACCACACCTGCCCTCCTTAACGGGGATGCTACACACACGACTGCCACGCGAAGGAGAGCTCGGCTTAGACGTAGCGTGTGTGCGCCCGTGCCGCGCTCGTGTGCATACACGAGCGATCGTACACGTGTGTGCGTGCGTCCTATCTAAACCTCTGAAGGGCTGTTTATGTTGATGTATGATTTCATTTTCTACTACATAGCGAATATTATCGTTTGCCGTGGATATTCTAATTATGAGCGCAATAATTTCTCATGCAGATAACACCTTGAGAATAAAATGTATGCCATGCGAATACTATAGTCGTTACTAAAAGGATGCATTTATCAATCCAGCAGCTTCCACAGGGCGAGACGCATTTAGACGACGTTATCATAAGTTTTAACCAGCGCTCGCTTTATTACTGTAACACTTGTATGTGCCCTGTTTTATTTATCTTATTACCCTTTACTGCATCTTTAATAAGGATCTGCAATAATTTCATTAAAACGGCCTCGGTCTTGTTGCTTGCCCATCGAAATACAAATGTAAGCTGTTTGTATTTCCCCAGTATGTCTTTCGTAATTCTTGTACTTAAATCTCCTAACTTAGTAATAATGTGATTTGTTTCCTTTAAATCCTTTAGTTATATGTTATTATGTGGTTACAACAATTTAGTATTGATGTTGATGTGTCTAATAAACGGAAGTGTCATCTTATCAATTGCATATCAGTTGTAGTAGTACGTAGAATTAAAAAAATATAATATAGAAAATAAAATAGAATTAAGAAAAATATTTACTAGATATATTATCTAGATGCCTTAGAGTTTTTATAAATACTATCTAACACAAAAGATAAACAAACTATTATGTCTCACATTTTAAGTAAATTTAAATGATAAACTAAATAAAAACATTGTTTTATAGATAAAGGAACTTATCTACATATGCCCTGTATACAACGTTGCAATATAAATTCAACAAATTCATAGAAGCAATATCTATTCCTGCCACTGTCAACAACATAATCTCTGTTTAAATTCCAGCACCCGCATATAGTATAGGAATGCATTGTTCACGTCCGACGCGTGGCCTGCGTACGCGCATACACGTGATTGTTTTGTTGAACCCCTCTCTTTATTAATAACTGACACAAAACAGTGACGTGCTTTTTTGTCATAGATAGTAAGGGCGTTATACTATAGGTATGATAAATTGTGGTCGTTAAAAACAATAGGGGTGGAAATGTGTGATTGTTATTTTTAAAGTCGGGTTGAAATTAAATCATCATGGCAATTGTTCTAGAAACGTACGTGCAAAAATTATCGATAATTGTATGTCCAGTATATATATTGTAAGTTTAAAATATATTGTTTCTTATTAAAGGTCAAGATAAGGTCTCGAAGGTAAGCAATAATTTTGAAAAGTTATTAAAAAAACAATTAACATTGTCATTAAATTATAATATGTAATCATTTTCCAGTATTCGATTATTCAATAATTTGACAGCTCATAATAGCCCACAGCTCAACAATAGATTCCCTTTTACGCTCACAGATAAACGTTTGAACCATAGACTACTCTATAGAATGATACGTTCGGAATACAAAGTTCCACTTTTGTAACCCTATCCAGAAAGGGGACAAGACAAAAAAGGTGAAGATTTTATTTTCTTTTTTCAAGCCCTGCACGTGGTCGGGTTGCGGTCCAACGTTCGTTTTTTTTTCTCTGTAATGAAAGTATTATGTGTAAAATTCTTCAGCGTCGAGGAGGGATCGGTTACGACCGCTTTCCATGTCAGTATCAATTTTAAAAATTGACCATTCAAGTGCAGACTGATTACGAAATCTTGTACGTTGCTTATTGACTTGAGATCTTATGAAATGATTGAGTAATGAGTTTTTTAAGCCATACATAGTAGAATCTTTTTCAATTCATACAATGTAACACTTTCAGTAATAAAATATTTGTCTTTGTATATTAGTGCACATTTTTTTTAACAGGCTAATCTAACAAGACGGTATTCGTATAAGAAAAGTGTTATATTAGAATAAACGTAATGTTATAAAAGCTAATTAATTGAGATACATATTTGTGTATTTTTAGTTGGTATGAAAATCTATGTATAAAACAACAATAACTGTTTCTGTGCTGGTTTGGAGTAGAAAGCTGAAAAATTATCTTTTGGCATGTAAAAAGTTCATAAAATAATTTACTAAGTACTGGGTAATTGCGATAGATATAACAAAATATTGACAGATGATAGGTATATTAGTAACATGTGTCAAACTTTATTTTAATTCTAAAGTTTTTCTAAAGTAAACGATCATTGGTATATTTTGTTGGCGGTTGGCTCGACTCCTGCCTACATCAATATTTTAACCTTCAAACATAATCTTTCGTCTTGTACTTATAGTGTAATTTACATTTCCACTCTGTCTCCACACTATCAGATAGTTAAGTAATTCATATAACTCATTGTATATCCTTAGTAAAACAGAGGAAATGATTTATCAGTACTTTGCGCGTGATTTGCGAGCCTTTCGATTTAATCGCAGGAAGCCGGCGCGGGCGCATACTATGATCAATCTACAGGAACCTATCTATCCGACCAGCTGCTGTAGTCTAGAACTGATTCATAATAGTCGTGTTTATTCTAAAGGTTTCCTTCGGGCGGTATGCATCGTCCGCTCATGCAAAATTATGCAACCCGTGTACAGAAGGGAAGTGTGCAGATTATAATGCGATGAATAATAATATTGTTAAAAGAAACCTTACGGGACTTGACTGTTTGAATTATTAATGGGGCGTCATACGTGGATTGGCATTTTCATCGATGCCCCACCTAAAATATTAACTTGTAATTGTATCAATATTGTTTTTTGAATGTACAAGGACATATATTTGTTAAAGAATATAGATTAAAATTCCTTAATAAACGACTGTTTTCGTTTAATCTATCTATTTTAATTTTATATGTAGTGAAAGGAGAGCTCTATGTTTCGTTATGAATTTATAATTTGAAATTAGAATATACATGCTATTCTGTTAGTTTTTAAGCTAGGCTTAAGTTTTCATCTACCTATATCAACACACAAATCCAATGATCGTGATTAAGTTAGATTATTCTAAGTCGCGGCACGTCAAAGCCTCTATTCGTAGAAGTCTCTGTGAAAACCAGTCTTTACTCTTTAGGCGCGCGCTATTGCTCGCGTGCTGAGCGCGCGCGCCGATACCGGGACGCACGCGCGGGGCGCATTGTGGACCCCCTATAAATACCCGCCGCCCTTCCTGCTTCCATCATTCCCAGCTCACGCTCCGTGCAGTGTGTGTCGTGTCTGCTCTCAAGCATCTTGTAAATATACGTAGTTCGTATTTTAGTATCGTACTAAGTTAATATGTGTCTCGCTAAGAAAGAAACGTCACCGCAGAAGGAGGCTGAGTCACCTCGATCACCTTGGATGAAGTTTCTTAATAGACAGGTAAAATTTTTCCTAATTTTTTATACTTCAATATTTTCGTTTTGGATCAGTTTACATTATCTTTAAATTAGTAAAATTGTTCTAACAGCTTTTTCTTTTTATTCTAGAATTCAAAACCAAGGCTGCCACGAAAGGTGACCAGCTCTACACGAGTGAATCTAAACAAGTGCTGGTCGAAATTGGGTGAGTTGATCTCCAATACGCCACCACGCACTGACCTGCCATCGCATAAGACTGCCTATTTCGAGGAACCCGTTCTGGTCCCGTTCTCCGAGTACTTCTATCCCGCGGATCCGGTCAAACCGGTCGAAGACGATGATAACGCTGAAAACGAAAACATCCTCAACTCAAACCGTTTTGAACTAATCTCTGAAGATCTGGAGATAAGTGACAATATGGCGAACGAGGTTCGAGAAATCTGCTACACGGCGAACAAATCCAACTGTTTTGTATGTAAACTTTGCTATTAGTTGCGTTTCTCTTCCGTCTTTATCAGTTTTATATTTTGGTAATGCAGTGAAAACAAAATCGTGTCTTCCAATATTAGATTAAGTGCGTGCGTCATCCGCACAAACTCGTCTTCCATTAGATATAGTGGCGAACATTACAATAACATCATCCAGTTATGTGATTCCATTTCGTGATTTAGCTTATTGACCTTCTTTTATTTGGATGATCTTATTGTTCTAGAGTTCGAAGTAAATTAGTTGTTCGTTGTAATGTTACAGTAAATTGTCAAATCAAGTTTTGGTAGACAGCTTTAATGAGAACTGCACTGTTATTTTTGCACCTATTCCGAATCTTCTGTAATAGAACATCTAATTTTCTTAATCGATTGTCTTCCATTAGTTTTAGAGTTTTGTCTGTGATAAACAAATTGAAGCTTTAATTAGAATTAAGACAGAGTTTATATAGTAACGTATCATAGGTTAAATGTAATGATGAACTGCCATAAATTGTATAGCGTTTAGTGTACGACAAATACATACTATAGTATTTAGTACTAGAGTATCGAAGCTTTAATTAGACGTAAGTTAGTGTAGATCTTCAAGATTATCTTCGTACATTGTAGAATCTAAATTTTGCTAGTTCTTCTTCTATTGTTCATATACGTGTATTACGAAAGTAGGCCGAGCGTGCCAATGTAGATTTAAGTTTCTTACTTGTACTATTTTTTTAAATTTAATCTTAATTAGTAATAACTTATCCATGTGCCTTTTAGCCTTAGACATTTTCTTACTTTCCTATTGCATAAATGTTCTAGCTTTGTAATTGTAAGCTCTAGCTTAGTTGTTTAGTAATATGTAGTAGTTAAACCATTTTGTAGACTGATATTGATAAGAGCAAGACTTTCGTTTGATCTCGGTTTAATAAATTTACTTATCATTAAAATGATGCATTTTACTCCACAACAAGCCCCTAAATATATAATTCCAAACTTTAAAAAAAACATCACATACAAAATAATTGATAAACAAAGGGGAAAATGAGACGAAATATATTATCGTTGTAATAACTATGATATCTAAACAAAACGAATCTACAGTTATACAATCGTAAATACGAAGAACGAATAAAGTTAGTAACAGTCAAAAAATTTATGAAAAGATTTATTTTTACCATGACAACTGATACGAAATGTAAGTAAAATGAAATGATGAAGAACAACAAAACAGTTGCGATACTACAAAATTGTCAGCAGACATTCAGCGAATGAATTACGTTTTTATAGCAAGGTCTTAATCTAAATCTTAGTTGTCAATAGTTTTTAAAAAGTGAGACAATAAGTCAGTTGTGTAGTGTATACACATTTAAGAATTAAAACTAACTTAAAATTAACGTAACGTAAAATTAACTTCAAAAAATACCACAACTTATTTCAACTTATCATTGCCTGGCATAGACATGTCCACCTTTTCTTAAAATATTTTATTCAGTAATTTCAAACAATAGAGTAATTCACAATAAAATTTACATGTAATTAAAAGAAGGAATGAAATTTATTATTTTTTAACACTCTTAATGGTTTGAAACGCGAAACGTATTAGAATACTTTCCTCTCACACATTTTGCGTTTTATACTGTTAAAAGGGTTTTATATAAAATAATATTTATTATAGAGAGATAGTTTTATACTTAATTCACAGTACTATATATAATATTTTTTCCAGAAATCTTTTTCGATCAAATTTAAAGAAGGTAACTTTTACATACCAGTATTATAGGAATAGCACCATAGCCGTTGTATCTTAGCACACCTTTTATATTTAAAAATGACAACACGCACTGCGCGATTATCAACGGTTGTCATCATTTCTTTCATTCTAGTGTCTTTAGCTATTAATTGAGGTTATTTATTAAAGAATCAGTTAACTCGGCCGATTTTAATGAATTTTGTAAATATGTTCCGGAACATATCAAACTGCGTTATATTAAAAGTAATGTTATAAGTATAACAATATCTTGTATAAGCTATAATTAATAATACCAAGGCATATAATAAAGGTTTATATTTATGTCGTTTTGAATATAAATCGTTTTTATATACTATTTATTTTTGCTATAACGGAGTTACCCTTTCACGTCCAAGGGACATATTTTCCCTTCCACAAAAACCGTTATCAATTATTAATTTGTGCAATGATGTAAAGACCATCGTTCAGCATATTATTGGTTTTCGGGCTGTTCGACCGACGTAAGCGAGAAGTTTTCGCCATCACGTGTGGACGGCATCATCAGGAGATGTTAACACCTCGAAACCCCCTTCTCACTCACGTCGGCCGAACAGCCTAAAAGACAAAGATATATTTAAGAATAAGTCCAGATTTATTTGTATTATCAATATGCACGTAGCCGGCCACCCATTATCAAAGCATGAAACGAATAACAATATTTCAGAGTTAAGTTAACACTACCCATAGCTCAAATGGCTTAGAAAAATAATGGGCACCGTCGATACGTGTCAAAAAACATTATTAGAGACGTGACATATCACAAAAGTCCTAGATGTCCATTTATAAGGCATAATAAAACGCGGGCCAACGTTTAAGAATGATAAATCGGCCGAGTTTCTAAGCGATTCGTTCCGTTCCGAGCTCACATATAAAAGTGTACAATATACCTGCGCGTGATTTCCAAATCGCAGGACGCGGCAATAAGGGAGCGTGAAATCGCAACGGTGTGGCGAATCGCAGAAAAATCTCGGTTTTTCGGTTATTTCTTAGGGATTTACACGGGCTTTCTTCGGCGATTTGATACGCTGAACGGGTGTCAGTATTACAAACACATGTCCTTTGATTTAGTCTTGTAAAGCTATTCATAGATCTGAAACGGCTTTTGGATTCCGCGACAGATTTCACGGCTCAAACGCGTAGCATTGATGTTGACTTACCTTCCGTCACAGCTGCGAGTTATAATTTTAATGGGATGCCTTGCAAATTCTGAAAATCATAGATCTTAAAAGACCGTTTGCATTTCTATGGAATATCATAGATCATCGAGAATAAAGACGAAAAAAAAATATTTTATCACTCTTTACATACCATGTAGGTACTGATATGATTTTCAGTTGGAATAAAGACAAATTTTGTTTTTTACAATACTTCCAAATAATTGATATTAAGCTATAGGTACTTGAATTATATATAAATCAATATGTATAAGAACATTTTTTTAAGATCCTAAAGGGAATTTTATTACATTATGACCTTTATATTAAAATTTATTGATATTCCAATACTAAAACAAATATTCTAGAGTCATTTTAAATTTTTTCCCGCATTGATCGTATTATTGACAATAATATCATTTAAACGTCTATAAATATTAGCAATACATACTCCGTAGCATAACTAATGTTAAAAACAATTGCTTACGTAATTCTCGTGTTTACTACAAACACTAACTAGCTACGACGCTACGACGTAGCACATAAGCCTACGACTTGCGTTATACATCGCTACCTAAAAACGGGTTAAAACAGACATTGATTTTTTTGTTTCTATAAATCTATTAAAGCGGGTAAACTTTAGACAATTAATAAAAGAGTTTGAAAGGTAAGGAAGTGGGGAACAGTAAACACATAACATTTCGTCATAGAAATTAAATAAAAAGACGTTTAGACATAGACGATCTTTTAAGAAATTTCTGTTTTAAAAACCTGTGTTGTAAAGAAATACAATAATTATACCTATACCTCTGGTTTTGTAGACTAATGACGAATTAAATTGATACTTTGAATTGATAACATATTTTTATATTTTTGACCAATTAATTTTACAATACATATATATTTTTAGATATTATATTAACAATACTATATCTTGTCCTTAAAAGTCTAGATATTAAAAATTCAGGCACAAACTAAATAACACTTTATTTAGAAACAACATGAACACGTGCGGCACTCTTTATACAAATCATTGTGCCTTTAAAATTTCTTAAGTATTGTGATAAATCTGGAGATGTTTTTACAATACCAATTTAAAACTGTTTGAGGTTGCCGCTTCTGTCGGCGTCTTTAATAGTAAAAGGTGGCTACTTTGAAAATGACACTTGGAAAGTACAGAACAAAATCCATATTCTACGAAAGGACTTGCGGTAATATGCATATAATAATACACGACAATCTCACAGATAATAATTGCTGTTTTTTGGATTATACAAAAAAAAATTGATTGTGGTTTTTGTATTGCCTTACAGTTTAAATAAAACATTTTAACTGTTTAAAATCTGAAATATACTACATAACTTGTTTTATCTACGTGCCGATGTTTTAAATGCTTTGCAGCAGTCGTGGTCACGGGCGGACGCCGTCTGCTGTAAAGCATGAATTCAAGCCGTAGTTAAAGTTTATTGTATATAAGTTAACTTTTATATTTCACGTTCTAAACCCTTCAAAGTGTATTATGTAAACGTGAACTTAAACTACAGAAAATGCTTAGAGACCACCCTATTCGACCATAGATCTTAGATTTTATTCTTTATAGCCTTTCCAGTCTAAAACCTTATGTTAAACGCCATCTTGCGCAAAACTTAGTCCTTATAGGTACCTTTAACAATTAAACTACAAAGTCGGTCAATATTATACTAACATATCTGTGTTAAATAAAATTCTTCTTTATCTTTCTATCACCACAGCCCACCTGATATCGCCACATTTAACAGTTTTTATCAAAACGACACCGGCGCATTATTCAAGTCCAAAAACCTGTGAAAATCAACAGAGGTCTTGTTAAAATTCACAGCTTCGCCAAGCTTTGTGCAAAACAACCAACCATTAAATCTTAAAACAGTTCTAGCGTAAATTTACAAGGGACAAGGATCTTGCACGGTATTGTCAAGTCTGTTACGTGTTAATAGCCTTGAATAAATATAAGACTAGCTGTGACCGCGACTATGTCCGCGTAGAACAGTTATTTTGTGTCATCATATTGTTTATTTTTGCAAATAACCTCGTCAACTATAAATT